CGACTACTTGACACATTATGCTGAATTAGTGGGCATTGGTCTAACCAGATGTGTCCTTGTTCCAGGTACTGAATTAAAAACAAAAGGTAACACCAAAATAATATTCTTAAGTATTCTGATGTGCATCCAAATAAAATGTGGGGTTTTTTTTCACATTAGTCAAGGTTATTAACTGTGCCTTTACTATTGAAAAGCCTTCTTGACTCATAAAGTTAATGTCTATGTGCACTGATGCCTCTAGAAACGCAGACTTGAGACATGTTCTGAGTGTGTGTTTTGCAATTTCTTTTCTGAGGATTATATAGCTGCCTAGGTACTAAGTGGCTCCCATTAGTAGAGTTTCTGGGCCTCTCTTCTCTAGTCCAGTGGTTTGGCAGTCCACTGAAATGCAAAATAATAATGCAGATCCTTGCAAATCATGAGAAAGAGCTTACTGTCTGCAAAGCAGGACAGACAGGCTTGGCAGGAGGAAACTGCAACGGGGATGGGTGCCTCTGGGAGCCCGTGTACAGCTGAGAGGTCACAATTCTGGCCTGTCAGACTTGACACTGATCATTTTGTACTTCCTACTTGACAATCCCTTTGCACGAGCCTTCAGGCTCACCCGCACACTTTCTTCCATGCTGCTGCTCTGTTGCAAATGCCCCTGCATCCTTTCTTTCTTTTCAAGTCCTTTTTGAGAGAAATTCTTCAATATTTCTAATAAGTTAAATATACCAAAGTCAGAAACATTTCTTTGCATTTATTAAAAAATACATTTTCCCCACCCACCTCTAATTAATGTGTATTTCTCATCTTGAGTTTTAATGACTTCAAATACTTTATGCCCAGTTAGTAATTACCCATGCCAATTAAATGGAACAGATTTACTTCAGGGTGAATTCTTGTAAGCTGCAGAGAGGGTTGCTTTAAAATGCCTGTGAAGTCCCTCAGAGAGTTCAAAGATGACCATACGAGTTGCACAGAGTTATAACTGGTGAAGTCAGAGAGTCTATATATCTACTTCATGTCAGAAAAGGCCTGTTGGTGAGTGAAAAAAAGAACACAGAAATTAGTTCACGAGACACTGCCTTTCCTGCCAAAGCTGGCTAAAGAAGTTACCTCTTATTCCTGCCCCCAGTGCCCCAAAGCAAAACTGGCCTTTTCTTACGGCACTAGAACTGTTTATGTGCTATAAACTGGATCACTGAAATGATCCGCATTAAAGACAATCCTCTAAAACCCCCAAGCCAATAATGCTAGAAAATACTCTTAAGACCCTAAAACCTTCCCCGTATATACTGACTTCCTGGGACCATGAATGAGAATATGGACCTTTCCGTATCCTGAAACTCACTGATCTTGGGCTCCAGCAAATCATTTCTGCGTGAATTACTTCACCTATTTTTCTGGTGCGTTGTATATCTACATTGTAATGCTTTTTGGAAGGGTGTGCTGTATACAAACTTTCACATGTTCATTGTTCATCAATGAATGAATTATGCGCTCTGTTTCAGGGTGGTTCAGATTCTTAGTCAAATTTTCCCTGTGCTTCCAGTAGCTCCGACCAGCCCTAATCAGAAACAGTCCTACTACTTACCATTTCATAAAGCCAAACCTTCAGAGAGCAACATAAATGTTAATTAATTTACTCTCACCTCACTCCTCTGAGGTAAATAACGGTATCATTTTCCCTTTCTGTTTAAAGGAGAATATTAAAACAGAAATGAAGTGACTTGCCTATGGTAACACAGCAAATTAGTGCAGAAGAAGGGTTGGCATTCAGAAATTCTTGGGGTTCTTGGGGGCTTGTCTACACAGGGAAACCGACTGGAACGCCGACTGTGCATCCTTCATTCTGTAACAGCTAGTCAAGCAGAGGCTGATGTGTGAGTGCTCTATCAAAGGGAAGAGACTCCTTTTGTTCTGGAATTAATTGTGCATTATTGAGGCAAGGTAATTATTTTGGAATAAAACCCCTCTTATCCCTCTTATTCTAGATCAGCTATTCTGATGACTTCCTTATATAGGCAGGAGGTAAACTGTAAATTCTCCTCCCCCCCTCCCCAAACCTAGTTAATTATTGCTTAATTATAAAGGTGCAAAAATGTTTGTACTTCCAGATAAAGCAAATAAATAACCTCTGGATATCCTGAGACCTGTGAGAACATGCATTGCTCCCAAGTGCTGCTGCCCCCCTAGCCACAGCTCTAGGTGCAATGCACGGGGAGAACGTGGTGAGAACAGCGGCTCAGCCGTGTCTCACGCCGGCAGCCCCCACGCCAGGACCCCTGCACTACCAGATGTTGACCTCTTAGACCTGGGATTCAGGGAGAGACCGCAGGGGCCCGGGAGCAGGAGCCAGCTCCAGCGCTGGACTGCAACCAAGGGTGTGTCCACAGCCTCCACCACAGCCTCATCTCAGATAGCAAGTGGGTTGGGCTGGTGCTTGGTGTCAGAACCTCTCCCTCCCTGCGTGACCCTTCTGAATATCTCCCTCATCTTATGATCTGGCACATCAGCAGTGTGTGAAGGAAGATCATAGAAAAGGTTTGGGAATGTGCTAGCCTCATTAACCTCATTAAAGAGCTTGCAAGCCACAGCCTCGCTATCTAAATTCTTCTGATGAAGACAAATTCAGTAATCGCACACCACAGTTCCTGATGCTGCAGTCACATCCAGCACTGTTGTATGTATATACCTGAGGACTGTAAGCCTCCTTGGACCTCCCTTTGTAAGAGTGGGGCTAGAGCTGCCAATAAAAAACACTTCATTTACGTAAAATACACCGCGCTTTTCAGGTGGGTGATATAAGACAAATGTACTTAAATACCGAAAATGTTCCTATTTTTCTGGATTGCCAATTCTCTTTTTTTTCATGCCAGAGCAGCACTGGGATCAGTTCCTCATCCATCCAGAATGTTCTTTCTACTCAGCAAGATGAGATAGGGAGCGTTGTTGTGACCCCGTAACACCTGCAGGAGTCACGACCTCAAGCTGGGGAACCAGTAAGAGAGTGATTGCTCTCTGGAAATCCACCCATGTATTTTTACAGTACCGAACACTGTGGTTTTTAAACATCAGTACTAAAGATCCATTAGGAACATCTTCAGAAGCTTGCAAGCCATTTGCATCCGTATGTAAGTCTTGTTGGTCTTCGCTGTCCAGACATTCCTGGAAAGTGAATGGGGGGTGAAGCTAACATCTCAGCAGTGGAGCAGCTGCTCACCACAGCTCGGTTTCTCTAGCTATCACCATGCTGCACGCTGCTGGAACGTTGCCAGCCCAAATCGGAGATGTTTTCTGGAGTGTCCTAATTTCAGAGACAGCTCAGGGAAAGCTTCACTTGTATTGGTTTAACTGAGATTGTTAATGTTCTGTCAAGCCAAGGACGACAACGGCAACCAGCAGAGTATCCAGAATGGGTTACCCACAGCTGATTTGTTTCAAAATTTTGGCCATTTGAAAACAGAGCAGTGTTCTTGCGGAACAAGGGGTGACGTCGATGTATGCTCTTTTTTTTCATGTGCCTACCCATATCGTTGATTTGTTATCTGTGGTGGATATCTAGAGAGAGAATTCAATTTAATTTGACTGGCAGTAGAAGAGCTCGATATATACTATCCGTATAGTACCAGAAGGTTTTGCCTGTGTGTCAGCAACTACAGTGACCTTGTCCCTACAGGTCTCCAGGAGGCTGGAATGTGAAGTAATGATCAACATGAAAACAAAAAAAAAAAGATAAAATAGCATTTTAATGCAAAAAGTTCTGAGAGATGCAACACTAAAGCATATTGGGCATAGCCCAAGAAGTCTAGTTACCAACCCTACACATACAGGTCGCTGTTCGGAGTGATCTTGGCCCTGTACTCTGCCGTCGGCCCCGGGCCACGA